GGATTATCACCCTTTATTACATCAGAGACTGTGGTCTTGCAACATAATTCAGTTGATATGATTTATGGGCCTTTGAGGACAATTTTATCATGAATGGATTTTGAGTTTATATACATCAAAGATACCATAACTATAACGGTTGGTTGGACACTGTGTTAAACGGTATATCAAATATAGTTTCAATCAGGTGTTGAACCACTGTTATAAACCAGTGTTAAATATATACTCACTATTGTAATCAACCAGACCATGGGTCACATAAACTGAAGAAAATGCTCATATGGGTATTATGGAAAGCAATGACCAACATTCTCTTGATTGTGACAGTATTCTTACTTCTAAAAAGTCTACTGTTCATTATATTACTGAAGTTTCTTAGTGAATGAAAATGATATTCTTTTTTGTCAAAGTGAAAGTGTGAGAAAACATCATCACATTGACATTTGTAATTATCAAAATCAATCTAGAAATCTGAAATCTCAGCAGTATTTCTTAAATTTAAAAAAAGTGTACTGCACGTTCATGCACAGACACATGTATACTTATACATGCACTGTGTGTTTTTTATTAGGAATGGGAAAATTAACACCATAAATGCAATTAATGCAGAATTTCTGTTGCCGGTTGCTTTACAAAAGAGTTACATCCACCTGGCAGAGCTGCGACACTGCACTGTGGCCGCTGGATCTTATTGTGCCCGTTCTAGACAGCACTCAAGATTCTACCAGAAGAACTACGTCATGTTCATAAAGCATCTCTCCAATCTTCTTTACGTAGAATACACAGTTGGTCTATTTTTGACTGAAGCCGCGACCCACTCGCGTCAAGCAGCACAGAGTAGTGGCAGGAAGTCCGACACAGAAACGGCACAGAGAAGACTCTGGATTAAAATTTTAAAATTTTCACTATACATCAACAATGTGGCACCAGGCCAGAAGTCAATCAGTCAGAGGCAGGTTAGAGTAGATTTGAAGTGGACACACATACAGACAAATCAGTGCTAAATACAGATGCGTGGTGCATTGTTTAAGGTTTGATTTTGATTTAAACAAGTAGTATATTAGATTTTATTATTTTAATTGTGGTGAAAACCAGGAACATTTGTGAGTGAATGTTGAAAACCAAGAAATGTTTTTTACGGATATCTGTCAGGACATCCAGCTTGAAACCAGGACAATCCCAGACAAAACGGTTTTTGTGTCCTGTTCTCCTGATGACAATTTAAACTAGTCATGCAGATATCCTCTGAAGGATCAACAATCACTTAAATTTTTTCTAATTGATAAAACTGGTATTATATTCAAGCTGGCATTGAAAAGGTCTTAAAGTTGATGAAAATCACAGGCATTATGTGTACACAAGATGTCCCTGACAGACCTCCAAATGCCAGTCATGGCAGCAAGAAGACTTGTCACATAACTGTCAAGCCTCTTTATATAAAATGAAGAGGAGTACAGCAGGATAGGACACAAAATGGCTGCTGCAAAAATGGCTGCAGATGGGAGCTGTGTGGCACGGTGCAAAGTCTAAAGAAAAAGGAGAAGTGAAGGAGGAGTGGATGATGGCAGTGGATCAGTCACTCCAGGCCTGGCCTCTCGGCAGGGGGTTGTGCTCGGGGCGAGATCACAGGCCTGCTGCCACGCCGAAGCCTTCACAGGCACACAGCGACAGATAGAAAGCTGCTGGCACCAGGTCGCCACACTGATTCACCCCAACACTGCCTCGGCACAGCCATCTTCTCTTTCACCCCATGTTCCACTGACTGAGCTTGACCTACATGTAGACCTGCTCTCTCCCTCCTCTTACGGCCTTAGCAGGTTTCAGACCAACAGCGAAGATCTTGGTGTCCCACTGAGAAGCTTTTGGTCTTTTGTGTTTGGTCTGCCAATTCAAAATTGGAAGAAAAATATGATGATTAACTGCAGTGCAGATACACAACTTAATATTCTGGTTAAGTAAGATGTCAAAGCTGTATTCCACAAAAACTCTCAATATGACGTTATTGTGGCTGTTATTGTCACTTTCAGTCTATATCAGCATTGGAGAGCATTTCTTAATTTAAAGAAGAACAAAGAATGACACTAAAGGCTGTTCTTGATGGAAGAGATGTTTCGCTATAGTAAGAGTTTGACTATGTTATATGGTTCGTTGATCTGGTTTGAAGTTGCCCCTGAAAGTGCCTGCCCTTTTCCAGACAGTTTCCAATGACAACTTCCCAGTGAGGTTAAAACCTACATTTAGTGAATTATCTGAATATTCAGGGCTCTCACTCCAACTGGTGGAGAAGGCAGTTTTTCCTTGCCCTTGTCGCCAAGTGCTTGCTCATGGTGGTACTGTCTCTAAATGTTATAAGGAGTTCGGTCTAGACCTGCTCTATTTGAAAAGTGTCCTGAGAACTTCTAATGATTTGGCGCTATACC